TTTTTTTTGTTTCAACGAAAACACCGAAATCTGGAGTGATATATATATTATTCAATGAATAATATTCATTGTCCAAATGGTCTTTTTGCGCATATCAATTACCATGGTCGTTTGTCTCATATATAAAAGAGAGACTCGGATACAAGATTCACAGTGCATAAAGTTGTCTACAAGTAGTCAATACATAATTATTTTGATGGCGGCGCTTGTGTTTTGTTTCTGATAGATTTTTTGTTTGAGACAGAATAAAACACTGCGAATACGCGACATTATCGTAAGATACACTCACATGGTGTTGCATGTCATATCAAACATATGATAGAGGTGATAATAGTTTTAATTAGCCCTGGTGCATATGATGAAATGACTTTTTAACACACCAACGTGTGCTGATTTTGATTATACTCTCTGGTTCAACAGGAAAAAAAAATACACGAAGACCAAGTTTTGAACCATAAGTATTTATCTGGTGTGTATTTACAACCTTCGAATGACAATCAAGCAACGACGGTGAAATTGAAACAAGTTCTTTTACGAAAAAAAAAATCGTGAAATTTCGCCACAGTTTTCATATTTTCTACGTAAAATCGTTGAATTTTTCCTCTTCGAAAGAGAAAATTGCGAGCTGCGCCCAAATAATTAGAAAAAAGTGTTTACTCGCGAAAAATTGAATGCAAATGAACCCAGCTAAAACAGGAATATTCTCATGTTAGAATCATCCGATCGTCAGTGAGTCTTCGAATTTATTGATTTCAAATCTTTTGGTTCGTTTTTTCTTTCTTTTTTGAGACAAAAAATTCGCACGTGTTTTATTTCACTGTTGAAAAGTTAATTTTCAATTGATTTTATTGCATTGTTCACAAAGTTATTGGTCATTTTATTGTCACTTTTCCGTTGAAATATGAGTATAAGACCCATTTTGCATTTTTCATGCTTAGAATTTGTGAATGAATAAAAATGTTTTTTGATTGAAATGAAACTCAACTTCAACTAAATGGTTCTGCTAACAAACTTAAAAGGTATCTACGAAAACCAGGGCCGGAACGTGTAATACTATTTGGATCCAAATCGTTTCACGTGTATGTTTGTTTTGCCAATGCCCGTTACTGTGATGCAATGTTTTTGGTGAAAAAGAAAAAATGTGCCGGTCATACTTATTATAGTGAGTTTTCAAAATCAATCAATTATTTCTTAGCCTATTTTCATTCAAACGTATGCCTTTCCGTACGAGAGGTGCGAACAATTCTCGAAAGTTTGTAAGAAAATGTGTTAATTAGTTGAGACAGTGTGAATTTTTGAATGTATGTGTATTTTCCATGGAAAAATTCTGATAATCTATTAATTTTGTTCTCAGGTGCTTCGAGTCCACCGTCAGAATTTTACAACATCTCTATTGATGATTCACGAGTGAAGTGTTTGATTTGTGCAAATATTGTTGGCCATCTTGACTCGAAAATTGATTCAATCATTTTGGATGTTGGAAAGATTCGCTTGGTGCGAATCGAGCCACGTAATTTAACGGCCGTTTGTACGACTAAAGACGCACATCATTCGCATGAAATGTTGGTTTCATCCGCATATTGTGACAGAGTGTACAAGTCATATACCAATCCGGAATTTCATAGCATTTCTCGATTTAAAACTCTTAAACAGCCGTGCCCTCTGTTGCCCGACCAAATTCTCGGCTTCAACTTCATCAGTTCCATATCTCATTCGTTTCGATATTTGAGAGTGCATCGATTTCGACACCCAAGCTCACTGTGTGGCATTACCAATCCACTTTCTATTGCGAATCTACATAAATCAATATTTTCTCCATCCGCAACTGACACGTTAACTGCTTTATCCGACTCTTCAACTGTTTCTTCTGATTCAACACCATTATCTTCTCAAACCAATTTGGTGGTCGGTGTTAATTTGGAATCGGATTCAATTCAATCTACTGCAAAACCGACACACTACAACGCTTCTCATTCGGAATATGGATTTTCTGTAGCAAATCAAGACATGTATCATTGGCAACAGGTAAATTTTGGAGCACTTCTTACCTTCCAGCACTTGAGTGAAACTTTTTTTGTTGGAAAATTGAAAAAAAAAGAATAAAAAAAAATATTCGCAGATTTCAGAATGATTATATAGAAATTCAAAGAAAACTCTCAATAAATTTGTGTCACAGGACTTTTACAGTTCTCCTTCAAACCATGAACCAAGTGAACCAACAACAGCAACTTATGGAGAAATCCCAAGTGCATCGTATCCGGTTGCATCAAGAGATGACAATGTTTGCTCGCCGCTACCACAATATTTCGCCGATTCAGCACCAATTTCACCATTCTTTTGTTCCAATTTCAATACTCTACTGGACAGTGAACTCAACTACATCGAACTGACAAACGCCAGATCGAATTCAAATGCAACAATATCAATACGACATGATTTCAATGGATATGAAACACCTAGCGATTTCGATATGCTTCACTTTGATTAGTCAGTTTTATTGAGAGTATTTATTTAGTATTCATCATTCTCAGCTTGCAATCAAGTTCATTGCATGAGTATGTCGATGTCATAATAATTTTTACGATTCAATTCTATCAGTTAGTGTTTTCTTAATGGAATCTATCCAAAATTGAAAATATTATTTTTAAAATTCAATTCGATTTTCTGCAGACAATACTGCAAGTTAACCAAAGCTGGATATTTATTTATAAATCATTTCAATGAAAGTGGCATTGGTTCGAACAACGATCACATCGACACATACACTCACTCGAATACACCAACCATATGATTCGTATGTGTGTGTGAGTGTATTGAATACTGTATTCGTTTCTCATAGCGACGGGCTATATGGAAGAAGGCGAGTGCGCCAGGCGGTTACGTATATTCGAAAAATAGCGAGAAGAGAGAGTCGAATTCGACTTCCACGAGTGCCAAATAATAAAATTTATTTCACATGAGTGTATTCGTTTCTTCATTCTCGTTATTTTTTGTATATGTGTAGCCGCTTCACAAACATGCCTTCTGCCATACAACCCGTCGCTATGACGCGCTGCCGCACGACGCGAGCGACCTGGTCATAAAAGCTTTTTGATAGTGAAATAATCAGTAAAGTAAAGCAGAGTAGAAAAAAACCTAAAATGAGTTGTTGTAATCAATGTGACGACGATAGATCATTGAATTGTATTAGTCATCGAATTTTGAATTACTTTGAATATTTAGGTTGCCCCATCATCAACAAATCAAAATATTCAGTAGCAGAATCTCATGAGAAAACCGAGTTCTTCTTTAATAATGCTTGACAATCAATCCTATTTATGGGTAACACCGTGCATACATTGCTTTGAATAGGAATCGGCACGACGTGCAATTGTTCAGGGGAAAAAGGAGAAGGCGAAGGCGTTCGAATCTAATTAAATCCCAAATTAATTCATAAATCTTATTGTTGACTTATTTTATAAACTTTTATTAACATCTTTGACATGCATGAATATTTGTTATGGATATTAAATACAAGTAAATAAATAACTGAATAAAAAGAGCAGCGATATCATTTGTGTATGTGTTTTTATTCTCAAAATTCGGTGCTTGGAAGTTCTTCTCCCTGAGACATGCACACATTATTTGGTTATCACTCGAGTCGTTTTTGTATTTACAATTATTGTTATATAACGTCGAGTTTACCCGACTGCAAAGATTAGAGTTGGTCAACACCGGTTTGCAAAACTTCAGTTTGCGCTCAATTCAGTATGCGGACAATTTAACACGCAACCTATGCATAATACTAACAAAACAAAGTGAAACACAAATTTGCGACGAGCGCATTCAGTGAAGTTTATTTCAATTCGTTTACGTTCTTAGACATACTCATGAAAGCGACTGAATGAACTCATCAACAATATTCTGTAATGAAAAACAATTTTTTTACTTATAAAATTGATGTTTATCGCCTGCTACGCTCTCACAAAAATTAATTTTGCACATTCGTGACATTTTTATTTTTTTTTTTGTCTCCTTCATTATTGAATATGAAAAAGATTCAATAGTTTGCGGTAAACATTGAACGATCTGAGTCACAACTTTTGACACTTGTCTCGTAGCGCCAGAAGTGAGGTGTCAGACGCTTAGATGCAGGACCTTCGGTATATAAGGACATTGCATCAGTTGAAAACATATGCTTGATTGATGACAAGTATTGTTCAACTATCATCATTCGTGTGCAATTGGTACTCCTTCTAAGACACTCTCAAATATAAGTGCATGGATTATTTTTTTGTCGGTAAGAAGTTTATCCAAAATTGCGATTTTCTGCAACTTTTCTTTGCGAAATTGGTGATTTTGTACGAAATTTAGTGAGTCACCCCATGCAACAACAATTAAAATATAAATATGATTTATTTCAACATCTTTCCCCTATCATCATTCGTTGCCTTTATGTGTATTCAGAATATGCGTCAGCTTTGAAATTCCCATGAAAAAACCAGATAAACTCTTTTAACGTAATATGAAGGTTGACGGTCATCCAAAAGGAAGAGACTGTGTGGACATATGCTGCCCTCTTCTACTTATAACGCCAATTTGCAAATAACTCGAATGTAACATAGAAAAAGAGAAGCAAAAAGAGATAACATTGAAAACATTTTGCATGGGTATCAGCCCTCAAAACTGGTTTACTAAAGACATAGATGACGTTTTGAGCATAGGTCGAGCAATGTGTTCCCTTTGGCAAAATCAAAGAGTTGCTCATTTTTTCAGTTGATATGAATAATTCCAACCGAGATAAGATAAAAAATAAAAAAAATATAAATGAATGCACGAATGGCAAAATCAAACATGTCCAAGAAATGAAACACAATTTCAAGTTCATTCGAGTAAATTAACTCTGTATCATCGTGACAAAAGGTTAAAAAAAAATATACGCAATCGAATATTTGCCGAGACACACTCGGAGTGAAATCGTTCAATCTGCGAAATCAAATTGATCAAAATGAAATTGAGCATACTGTATGTTTTGATATTGGTGCTCCAAAATGTGAACACAGATACGGGACCAAAGAGATCCTGTAATCCGATTTATAATCACCTAACAAACTCGTTGGAAATTATTTGCAAAAATGTCAACGGTGCCGAATCTGGAAGTGATTGTATTTCTAAGCTATTCGATGTAAATGGTTTATTTGAACGTGATGAAACCAGGCGTAAGGTGAAAGAAATTAGAATCGATGGATGTAAAAATGCTGTAAATTATTCGTTGTTGTCCAAATTTGAACATTTAAACGTATTTGATATGTCACATGTTGGATTGACTTCTGTCGGCTATTTGCATTCGAAATGTCTGCATTTAAACGTATTCAATGTTTCTTTCAATGAATTTCGTGAAATTCCACATAGACTCACTTCGAAAATGCCAAATGTAACCGTAGTTGATATTTCACACAACGATTTGGAAGACTTGCAACTGTACAATTTCTGGTATAATCACAAATTAACCACTTTAAATATTTCACACAATAAACTGCTCACGTTTTATACATGGTTGCCCGTAAATTTGCGCGAGCTAGATATTAGCAATAATCGAATAAAATCAATTTCATATGGGATTTTCAATGGATTAAATCAATTTAAAGTGTTAAACATAACGAATAACCCAGTGCGAATGAATTATAATTTTCTACGGATTTTATTGTCCTCATTTGTTACACACACTACAATGGAATTGGTTGATGAAGTTGAGCTACGACGCGGGGAAATGTTTGATGATATTGAAATAACGATAGATATCGAAGACGAAATCATTTTTCGCATTGTCAGACGAGAAAATGAGCTCATACAAAGTAAACGGTGGTTCAAGCATTTGCATGTTTTTATATTTGAATACAATAAACGAGATAATACCAAAGCTTTAATCAATCTATTGGGATCATCAATTCGACACGTGGAATTGACAGGAAGTTATGTTGGAGAAATTGATGCAGATAAATTTGAAGAGTTTTGTCATTTGAAAACGCTAATTTTATCAAATACTGGCTTAGTGAGCTTTTCCCTACGTCACATCACACATATTACGAAACTGGAATTCCTCGATGTTTCTGACAATAAATTAGAAGAAATCGGCAAATCAACATTCTTTTCAGATGCCGATAATTTGAAGAAGTTGTGCATGCAAGGGAATCATATCACGAATATGAAAAAAGTATTAGAATCTTTGGCACCATCTATGGAATATCTGAATTTAAAAGAAATGAATCTAACTAATTTTGACTTTGTCTCGATTGAGCATCTCGACCAATTGAAAGAGCTCGACATTTCAAGCAATAATTTGCAAAGGATGTATTCCATGCCGATTTTGAGAAACTTCTACAAATTGTCAAAATTCCTTGCGTCTGATAATAATCTAGAGAACGGCGGTAATTTGATACAAAATTTACCGTCAGCATTGGTTGAATTGGACATGTCTGGAAATTACGTGGGTGAAATAACTGCGAATATGTTTTTTACATTGAGGGAACTACAGTTTTTACATTTGAGCCGTACAAATCTCACTAGTTTTACCTTCGGTGCAATTGAATATCTTACCAAACTTTACTGGCTTGACATTTCGAAAAATGGTTTGAGGAAAGTGAATTTTGCATTATCGTCAAAAGATTCAAAGTGCCGTTTAAATTGGCTTCGTTTAGATGAGAATGCTTTGACCGAATTGGACACACTTTTGCCAGAGCAATTTCCCGCACTTGGCACATTGGGCATTACAAAAAATCGATTCTCTTGCACATATTTGGAAAAATTCAAAACTCCATGGATACAATCACGTAAATTCATCATCGATTTCTTTGACCAGGGATGTTTTAAACAAACCGATAAAATTCCTACAGGTAAGCTAGTGATGAGTTCTACTGAAGTTGTGAAGCTTTAGTTTTACATTGCAATATTTGAATATATATTCCAGGAGATGATAAATCATCGAATGTGGCACTGTATGCAGTTCCTTTTGGTGTACTAATGATCATTGTTGTGGCTGCCATTGTGGTGTACTTGATATTACGTCGAAGGCGATCTAAGAGGAGTGAAGTGCAGACTACTGTTGTGTACAATCAAAATGGACCGGCCAATAAATTTGGATTCGTTAACGATGCAATGGCAACAACCAGCAAGTTGAATGTAAAGGAAGATCCCACCGATCATATCTACGAAGAAATCAAAGAGAATCCCATCGCGTATGATCAACTTAGATTCAATTCCAACCTCAAACGGATGCCAATTCCAATACCAATGCCATTTGCACAACATACTCTCAATCACTATGACAATGCTAGGCTTCTGAGGCGCGAATATAAATCTTGAATTTTTTTCGCTTTATCACACTTCGTCGATTGTGAACAGTGCTTGCTGCTTACTGCACATAAAGTTAGAACTTAATGATTATTTTATCACTCATATCAAAAATACTTAATTATACTCATGTCTTTATACTAAAATCATATTCTATCAAGCAATTTGTTTTTTTCAACTAAAAAACTTATGTATACCTTCAAATGAATCAAATAAATATAAATGAATTCAACGCTTTTACTGAAACCAAAATTCCGTGAAATTGTTGCTAAAAAAAACGTTTAAAAAGCAAAGATAAAGAAGCATGAATATCGAAATATAAACCATAATTGGATCGATAATTTGAGAAATAATTAACAATTTGCATGAAAGCAGACTTTTGCCAGGAATTGATTCATTATTTTATTTTTAGTTTTTCTATGATAACAAAATTTACAGTCAGAGAATTAAATTGAGAATTGACGCGCATGTGTATGAGTAATTTGAATCTCTTTGTCGTCATTCGTCAGCTAAAATTACTGTAGAAACTTGATAAACTCTTCTTTTTTTTTAAATCAAAATACGGCGGTTCAACATTGAATGAAATGAAATAAAAAACCACTTTAATTCATTTTTGGTGAGTCACATGCAGTCCGATGGCGTGGAGACTAACAATTTAGAATGCAAATGTAAAAAGTGAAGAGCAATACTTTTGATGGGAACGAGCTTGAAAGAAATAGTTGACATTTTGAGTGCATTAATTGTGACTAAGAAAAAATATGAATTTGTCATTTCCTCATTCCAAATGAATTACTAAAATGGAGATAAAAGAAATAAAAAAAAATGCCAATGAATTTAATGCCAGCTTTTGAAAAAACAACAAAAACTAACATTTTCTTTAAATAATTTTCAACTCCGATTTCATTCCGTGGATTTGTATCGTACTAAAATATTCACAGAACATACGCAATCAATTTGCACTTGAAATTGGAATGTGCAACCAGGAAACTCAAGTCCAATTGCCAAAATGAAATTGAGTTTGTTATTTTATGTTTTGATATTATTCCAGTTTCATGCGATGCCATTATCACAACACACTCTGGACCACTACGATAATATTGGGACTCTGACACTCGAATAATAACACATCGGTCAATAAGTCCCGAGCCTAACCACCAAGTGGCAACACTAATGTCAAACCCATATCATTTTCGAAAACTACAACCTTTTTTAGGAATCCAGTCAAAATTTGAGCCAAATCCGACCATCAGTTTGCTAGTTACAGCTATACGAGAGAAAGACTCCCGAAAATGCTTCAATTTTGCCGTTAAAACGGTATAACTTTCTTCTGATGCATTGTATTCAAGTATATTCATGTGGAGAGTTCAGAGAATGACCAGACCTAAAAAATACAATGGTTAGTGAAGCAGTTTGAAACCAATTTCGTTCAATTATATCACCATATAAACAGTTCTTTGACCTGGATGAAACTCGCATTTGAACAACATAGTTTTCTTCGCCAAATTTGCTATGTTTTATCAAGATTTGACATTCGGATAGGTCTAAAATGATGCATAAGTGACTTTTCATGTTGTTTTATATCTTTCCCACTGGTTCGCGAATATTTTTCTATACCTAAATCCACTAATAATGCCCGAACTCATATTTTGCGACCTTGGTCGCTACAAACCGTTTTTGGCGATTTCTACCCGCAATTTATAGATCGAATCTATTCAAATGAACTCAAAATACATTAATTCTAATATATAAAGGCAAAACCCTATTCAAATTTTACTTATACAGCTCCAAACGGGCTTCGAATCCCCAAAAAACTGTTCTATCTACTCCATATCCAAAAACGCGGCAAGGCTTTTTCGATTGAGTATTTCATATGCATATATCCATGCAAAGTTGTAACTATAGCTTGAGTTAGTTGCCCTATGGCCTTAGCAAATCTATGAACTATCACATTTGAGAATTCCGATATCACTTAACGGATTTTGGCAATGATTTCTTCCAAAACCACATATTTTGAACAATTTGGAGGCTTATCGACAAAATCGCTCTTATGGCTATGCATAAATTCAATTCTTCCATATCTAATGATTGATTTCGAAAGCCTAAGGATGCCATAAACTAATCATAGTATGGGTTTGGTACTCCTGCTCGTTTTTCTTCTGGAATACATGTGTCAAATCGAGAGGAGAAATGCAGTTTTTCCATGATTTTGGAAAATTGGAAAATTGCTTCATTTAAAGTGCTGTAATTAGCGAACTGATGGTCGGATTTGGCTCAAATTTTGACTGGATTCCTAAAAAAGGTTGTAGTTTTCGAAAATGATATGGGTTTGACATTAGTGTTGCCACTTGGTGGTTAGGCTCGGGACTTATTGACCGATGTGTTACATTTCGACAATATTAATTTATTGCAGTTTTTTCGTTGTGTACAACTAAAATGCTTGACTTTGTCTTTATCTATGCTACTATTTGAAGAAAATAAATTGAATTTCTTCAACTAGGAATGAAAAAAATCATTCATTTCTTAAATTAGACAAAATAAACAAAAAATCTTCTTTTTTTTGCTAAAACAAAGAAAAAATTACATATTTGAATTCCTTGAAAATGTTTAACGAGTAAACACGAATATATATTTGTGTCGCCAAAATCGGTGTCCCTCCAATCAAATCAATCAAACATTGCATTGGATCATGATCATTTAATTGGGAGAAAATCTGCTTGTTTTCGCCAGGAATTCAGATTCGATCCAGATCCGATGCCATTATCGCATCACACTTTATAGGGTAATTTTTTATTTATGGACTATCATTATTGGTCAGCTAAAATTCCCAGGCGAATTTGATAAACTTATTTTTCTTATCAAAATAATCTCTATATTAATTTAAAAAAAAAACAATGTTAAAATTGCAAGAAAAATTCCATTTTACGCAAAAATGATTACATCATGGAAAAAAACGTCTACAAAATACATGAAATATAATTGTCAAAAAAACATTTGGAGTTAAAACTTACAACCAGCGTCGCATGTGTTTTATCTTCGTATGTGTGTTCATTTTGTTAGGACAAAAATCAACCATCAAAACTCAATTTTGATAAGCGCTTCAGCGACATCTTTGCGACTTGATAAATAATTACGGATCAATGAAAAGGATCAAACCAATTTCTTGGTTGATGAAAATAAATACTCAGTAAATATTTGTGTGCGTGTAGTTCGTTTAATTTGTTGATGCATTTGGTAAAATTGATTGCATACAGTGACCGTATCATTGTTTAAGTGCTGAGATAAAATTGTGGAAAGAAAACAAATAATATGGTTTAATAAAAAAAAAATGTTCATCCATTGCCATGGGGGACCTCTGATCTGCACTGCAAGTGTCGATTTTTTTTTATTTGATGCTGACTTTCGGTTTATTTGAGACCAAGTCTGCCGACTAAATCCCGCATCTTATTTACATAATCTTGTTTGGCCTTCTCCGATTTGGTGTTTCTTTTATGGTTCCATGCGTCCCATTTGGATTCCTCTCCATTAAAGCCGGTAGGACGAGCGGTGTTAACATTGCCCACCGTCGCTTGTTGGTACAATGCGTATAATTCCAATTGGTCACTGTAATCAGGCGTTCTCTTAAAATTTTTCTCATTTTCGACAGCCTTGTTGAAATCATCTTGCAAACTCCATGGTTTTTTTAATGAGTTGTCTGCCAAAAAAAGTATAAGATATATTTGTTTGAAGTGTTAAATTAGAGCGTTATTCTTCTCTTATATCTTCGTTACATCACAGCGCCATTCATAACGTACAAATCTTAAGAAGATCTAGATGGCGCTGTTGACGTTACAAAGGAAAATTGTAAATTCAAGTAAAACTTGATGAAGAAATGGATCTTCAATCTTACCGCCTGGTCTTTCTGCAGGTTTGGTCTGTTTCTGAATTGTTGGTGCTGTAATCAAAGCTGCTATAGTCATACCCTGCATAATTTTTGCTTTTTCCAACGCTGTTTGTAAGGTCGGATCCGTCATATTAGGTTCGCCAAATGATTTTTTCGGTGAATTAGAATTGCTAGAAGACTTTGCTTCCGGAACTTTTGATCCTGATTTCACGGCATATGTATTTGGGCCCATCATAATAGGTTTGGCAAAACTTTTTGGTGAGTCTAGCTTGCTTGGAGGCACCATTCGACCATTATTCTTTGTGCGATCGTTGAATGCTTTGACTCGGTCTTTTACTGAAATAAACGTTGGGTCTGACTCATATTCATCCTTCTTCACGGATGGTTCTCCACTCACATCCACGATTAAGAACTGTGGGAATAAAATAAAGTGA